GAGGTAGAGGGTGATCAAAAGGAAGTCATTCTCAATGAGTAAGTGCCTATTTGAATTTTTGGCATTTATGCCATCCACTTTTGGGCAGCCTTATTTAGCTACCGTGGTCGCTTTCAGTTGTAAAATTGATCTCGTTAAGTTAGCTTCGGAAAAGGGTAGTGTGTCCCATTTACCCTGCTTATGTAAGGCGATTTGTTTTTAGTACTTTTAACGAAAGACTATCATTTACTTCCTCAATTCAAATGATGAGAAAATAGAAGAGGATCGGATTTGCCTTCGCCCTTCTTTAGTTTAAACTTGATGCAAATAATGAAAGAGAATACCATAGTTAAGATTGTAACTTCTACGCATGGCAATGCTAATAAAGTTGGACTTTTTAAACTCAAAACAGAGAAGTGAATCTGTCGCCTATGGAAACGCTCAGGTGCCGGTACTTCTACTTCCTTTGGCTCCTGATGTTCTGCAATATCATTCCAATTACCCTTATTACTTCGGCCTATAAGGTAAGCGCCCTTTGTTGGCTAAGGAGGGGGCAAAGGGTCTCGCCATCAGTAGCAACATGTATTTGAGTTAATTAAGTAGCTAAGGAAATTGGAGTCACTACATCCATTTCTCTAAAGGGGAAAGCCATTCACTGTAAAAAACATGCTTTAAGTCAGTTTTCCAGCTGCTGTAATCAAAGCATGCATTTAGCTTTCAAATGTGTTTATAATTTCCGTACCAAACCATGGGACTGAATCGACCTTGATTGCTTTATGTCCAGTTTATTTGCAGCAAATCAGGCAATGGTTCAATGTCGGCTTCATCTCTCTGAGTGTAACAGGGTGGAACAAAAAAGTGGGCAAAACGAAAGTGCGCGTCTCACTGACTGGTGGCACGGTCTGCCACATGGGCAGGGAATTTTTTATTTGTGAGAGTGTGACCGTTTATCCACGTGGCGTCTCGCTCTCCCTTCTAGATTTTCGGCAATGAATACCTTGCAGATGACATCTATCTGACAACAATCGGCACCCTCGGTTCTCTCTTCAACTGCCTGGGTCGCGTTTTTTGGGGCTATCTGGTGGATAAGTTCTCCTTCAAGGTAAAACAACCGATGCAATGGTCTTCCTTTAATGCCCTTTTGAGAGTGTGAGTACAAGCTTTAGCTGCAAGTTTTACCATTTCTGATCGTAAAATCCATTAAAATCTGGTTTTCATTACGTTCCACAATATTACGATCCACTTTCAGTTTCGAATTTCATCTTAACGATCGTCTTGAAAAACCGTAGTTTATATTCAGAAGCTGGGTTGTTTGTGTCACCATTTTCACAAAAAGAGTGGAGTTTACATTATTAAAATGATTTGTTCAGGAAATTGAAGGGGTACATTTGCTACTGACCATCCGACTGACGTCCGTGTTAGATAAATCTAAGATGACACGTCGGCCCTCATACTTGTGCGCTTGTCCTGTTCCCACCTGCTCTATTCAACAGTCATGCAATGTCTATTTTGAGTAACCAATCAAACGAATGTTGTCTGTCAGACCTAAATTTCGTGGCTATGGTCAAAATTTTGAGAATGTACTCTTCCAATCCACCACGGTATCAAGATATTTGACCTTCATAAGTCAGACACCATTATTTTACCATGGGAACAACATCTATACCACCTAACTGTTTTATTTAACTGCTGGTTAAAATATTCACACCTGGATCCCATGTCACATATTTGTACCGTTAAACTCAGTTATGAAAGTCTATGTGAGTGCAATAAGTAACTGAGGCTTTTAGACTTGAGTTGTGCTGTCATTACTGGATTAACTTATCATTTGTGCTACCCCTCCTCTTTACACAGCTTCCCATCGGATGCATGCTCGTCCTCTGGTCGTTCTCGCTCTTCTGCTTCCCCAATGTCTTCGTTTTCGGTCCGGATGTAGGCCGCTACACCTACGGCATCTTTGTGTGCCTCATGTTCTTCTCCATGGCTGGCGTCTTCGCCATGATGCCTGCGGCCACGCGTCTTCTCTTCGGTCCTAAAAACATGGCCACCAACTATGGCATGGTTTTTAGTGCATTTGTAAGTTGTTATGGTTCCAATTGAAGGTGTGTTAGTGGCATCAAATTGCACACTGGTAGGCCTGTCTGAACCCTCCGAGTCGGAAACTAAAAAAAGTTTCTTTTGCAGTCCGTTGGTAGTTGTCTCAGCGCTTTTGCCAGCCAGATGGCTAAGGGACGATGGAATTTACTTTTCTACGGTTCGGCCGGCGTCTGCATTCTAGGTGAGTCATCGGCGTGGCCTGAATTTTCCCACACCATGGTGCTTAAACCAATTCACTCCCTCCTCACCACACAGGCAGCACGCACAATAGTCGAATTAAATTGCCACTTGTAGAAGCGATTGATGTGTCATAATTGCTTTCAAAGAGCTGAATTTGATAGTTCTGACGTCCGATTAATGTCTTGCTGCAGGTCTTTTCTTCCTGCTGTGGATCTTCGATCCTAAATTGCCAAAACGGCTTCAAGTTTTCTGCCCTTGTGCCAAGGTGGATCGTCGACGCTGCTAATAAACTCGTCGTATTGGTGTCGTCATTTGCAGATTTGCATCTTATGCTACAGATGATTCCCTACCAAACTAGAAAAACATAGCATACCCCATCTCCCCACTCACCCACCCCTTTCCCCTCATAGCCGTTTTCGTATCAAGTGGCCACCCTCCACATTTATGTGTTATCCTTTTCACCCCGGTTCCTAACTGGTTAGCTCACACGGCTCATATTTTAGCATGCTTTTACAAAATATATGTGTTACATGTTGAATTAAGCATTTTATACAAATAAACTTTTCCTCGGAATTCGTGCTATACTAGCTGTGAAGAAGGCTGCTTAAGGCTCGGTGGGTGTTTCCCAAACCATTGCGTGGGATACCAACTTGAGGCTACATTTCGGACTCACCCTTTGGAGAAGGGGACCTAGGAGTGCGTCCGGCTTGGCGACAACGCTACGGTTCGTTTAACCATTTTAGCATACCCACGTTTGTTGTTAGTCCACAGCCAACAGCACGATCACAGGTCAAAATAAGCTTAGCTTATGCTCACAGGTCCTGGTATCGTGAACGGGGTCATGCTATTTCCCATACATCTATCCAAAATCACCAAACCGGCCAGTCAAGGCAGTCAATCTTGCACGTAGTTAGCCCTGGTGTCAATGTTCAGCCACAGAGCTGCAGACGGCAACCGGGCTCCGTGGGGTTTGCTGGTGGCCACACGCCCTGCAGCCTCATTAGTCCACGTGCGGATGTGCCTGCAGATAGTGAAGGGCGGGGGCATGATGGAACCAGCTTGTTCAGAGAGACAAGGTCGGTTTTCGGCGCCGACGCTATTGATCCAAGCATGAAGGGCAGGTCGGCGTAGAGGCGGTACTACACGCAGTAGCGAATGTCAAGTACTGCGAACTCATGCTGTCATTGCTGACATGTAGGTGACCTGAGGACCGTAGGCCGGTTTTACATCCCCTTCGGCAATAGCCCGCAAATGCAAAAATCGGTGGAGACAAACAGGCCATCCCAATAGCCAAAGCGTGGAACTCCAAATCCCGGAGACCAGTAATACGACACCCGATTGGTGTCAAAGTGTCTGAGCGTGGCGGTTCAGTTCCCAGACCATGATCTTGTCATCCATTCGGCTAACTCAGTGCGTGCAACGTCTGCCTCGTCAGTGAGCACAACTGGCACCTGAGAGGGTAATGCAATGTTCAAAGAAGATATTAGCAATTTTGAAAATCCAGCTTAATCACCTTGATTACCAGGACGAAATAGCGCTTTTGACCAATGACATTGCGCCGTAATGGTCAAACACTGGGATATGCATATGAAATGTACTAGGGAACTAGGTAAAATGATTAATACATGAAAATTATTTTCCACTTTTAGCTACAAATTTCCAGTAAGATTCGAAAAATGCGCTTGAATATTTTCTCTTTAGAGTTTGTATTGTTCTCCTCGAGGCATTTTTGTCAGCGCCATCCAATGAAAATAAATGATTGCTTGTGCGCCCCAGGGCTGCTTGTCATTAGATCGAACAATGGCAGATTTACACGCATTTTTCGTTGGTTTAGACGATTTAAATTGATTTTGATTACCCCATTTCGAGTTACAGATTTCCAGCAGCATTCTGTCCATTCAAAAGTAAAGAGAAAGGGGGTAACCATCGCGGCATCCTAACTCAGCGC